TCCTTTATTGATCCAATATTTCGTTGATAGTTATCAACATCATCAGGGATAAGCTACAATTAGTTTACATGAAAATTGACAATCTGTTATAAGTACGTTGATCTTACTTACGATTTTGAGAATGGTGCCGTAAAAGCTGGTTAAATTTATAAAATTTTTGTGAAAAAAATTGTATGTACGTTTGCCGTAATCTCCAAGAAGAGTGCAACTTTTGGGAGAAAAAAATCTTGATGGTAAAATGGATATGTCAGAAAAAACGAGGAGGGGCTCGACAAAATATTTTCAAGACTGTCCTGGACTAACAAGATTATAGAGCATATCGAAAGTTTTCCAAAAATTGAGAGCCACTACGCAAGGGCGAAAACCCCGGATAAGCTCTTCTTGTCACCCGGATTTAAACGTAAGTAGAATGTACCGTGCATTTTTAGAGAAATATTTGTGCGGATTATCAGCCGCCTAACAAACCACCAGTGACTAGACAATGGTATAATGAAATTTTTATATCAAAATTTAACTTATCTTTTGCAAAGGCCTAAAGTAGATTACATGCTCCATATGTGATAGTTTGGCTGTTCAAATAAAAACCAGGAGATAAAGCTGCTGTAACAGAACAGAAGCTTCACCATCGGAGAGCAGAGGCTGCTACAAAAGCAATGTCAACTGAGACCAAAAATGCATTGTACAAGTAATTGCTATGTTCTTTCCTTCTATATGCAGTAGCAAATGTACATTCCCCAATTTAACTCACTCCGAAATGTACTATTCACAACAGCTTGCAGTGTTGTAACTTAGGAATTCACGATTACATCACAGGAAAGGGATTCATGTGTTTATGGGACTGAGGACTTTGGGGGAAGGGGGTGCCTTGGAAATTAGCTCCTGTTTATATACTTACCTTACTAAGGAAATTGGCAATCACGGAAAGAAAAAGCTTATTTTGTGGTCGGATAATTGTGGGGGTCAAAATAAAAATCAGTTCATGAACGCCATGTATTTGACCATACTAGCAAATAACGTTTTTGAGGAAATTATTCAATAAATTTCCTGTAAAAGGACACACTTTCCTTAATTGCGACAGAGATTTCGCAATCATAGAAAAACGTAAAAAAGTGTGTAAGGCTTATACATTGATGAATGTTGTTAACATCATTACTAGTGCGGCCCAGAAAAATCCATTCTCGTGCATGGTGGTTAAGGACTTTTTATGATTTCAAAACCGTTTGCCTGTGATAAACTGAACACAAAGAAGTTAGGAATTTGAACAGCTACGCAGCTTCGTCTTACAAGAGAGAAATTTGGTACGGTGATGGTGGCTAAAGGACATAGTGAGCTCGCTGGATGGAGTGAAGATCAATGTACTTAAATCTGGAGTTACATTAGAAGACTTTAAAATCATAGACCTTCAAAAAACTTAGAACTCACTTTGGTATCCCAGAGAAAAAAAGAACAGATTTTGAAAAAATGCTCCATTATCTTCACGATGATGCGCAAGAAGTATTTTAAAGAAAAATTAGGTCAACCAGAGCAAGTTTCTACTGTAGGAAACAACGGTTAAAAATCTGGCACTTAAAAACGTTTTGACTTGCAAACCTGATGGCACTTACAACGTTTTGACAGACAGATTTTTGAATTTTTTTTTAAGTAAACTTTGTTTATTGTTCCTTTGCGGTATGTTTGTATTATATAATACCTTTAAACTAATCCTTTTTCAGTATGTTACATTATAATAAATAAACATGTTCGATAAAAACCTGTTTTTTACTCCTCCTGAAAAATTTATAATTTGGGCACTTACTACATTATAGAAATGCACGCTTCATATATATATAATATATATATATATATATATATATAATATATATATATTATATTATATTATTCTTTGAGTGTCAAGTTTCCTCTATGATTTTTTTCAGGCTTTTATAGGGGCATCATGGTCAAAATAACAAAAAATAATTTTCGGTCTAGCTGTTAAGATAGATTCTCCCTTCGATATTTTGAAAATAAAAATACCATGTTATTCTATATCAAAAAGTGTCCGACCAAACATATATTGGGTTTAGTAGTCAATATATGGCCTTTAAGTAAAACTCTTTTAGGTTTGCTAAGCTTTCGAGTTTATTTTACTCTTTTTTCAAAACATACTAAAAACTAACATAAAAAATTTACATTAGAAAAAATGAAGTTCTTATGTCTTCAATAGGCTTACCCTTGTGAGAATTGTCTTTTAAAATTAGCAAAATTTTACATTTTGTCATTATGTCATTAACATAATGACGTTAAATTTGATTTACTTTTTATTTCTGTCAAAACTTATTACTAAGGTTTCCATATCTCTTCTATTTTGTATATTTATTTTAGGTGAGTTTGACAGAAGAAGTGTCTATTGTTTATGCAAACCTTCATTGCAAATTTTGATATAATATTAGTTATTAAACAAGCAACAGAGTTTATGTTACTAAGTATTTAAGAAAGAAAAAATACAAATATAAAATAAATTTTATCTCATTTGAACTTGGAATAATCCCTTACATATGCGTAACTTTAAGAACTTTTATATTGTTATTCTTTTATTTAAAAGAAGATTACTGTATATAGCACTAAGATTTTCAATGTCTTCTCTTTTGTTTAAGGTGTTTTGTGTAGTTTTAATTAAACACATTTCTAGAAACAGTCTTTTGTTGTAATTTCTTTCCCTTCTCAATATTTCTGTTTGATATAACAATGATCAATGTCTATACACATTGGTTCTTAGTGTCTATAATTATAGACACCTAAGAAAGGCCTCTAGTAATTCTTGTAAAGAAAGATAACATCAATTTACACCTAATTACATATTAATTACACTGTTTTTTTCTTTCCCATTCTCTGTATGAGTTAATATACACCAGTAAAACATGCCATCAATCAAGTTTTACTATTTTTACAACAAATTTTAAAAATTTTATGATGTATTATGTCCATAATTGTATATTTTAATGTGTGGTATAAATGTTGAGTGTTCAATGCTTACAAAAATAATCTCAACGACTAGTAAGTTACACTGAAGAATTGTGATTTTTTTAAATATTTACATAATTGTCTTTTACAGTGTCTTGAAAAAGGAATAAAAATATTCCGAAAGCTTGACAAAAAGTCAAAAGAGTGTTTTTTTTAACATCCCGGCCAATATTTCTGACTGCAACCCTAATAAACTGTGTTGTTTGTATATATATATATATATATATATATATATATATATATTATATATATTATATACAAGCATTTACACCGCGGGTTAAGAGTGTTACATATATGTAATATAAAAAGCGTCAAATATGCAGGGTTTTAAAACTAAAATTTCCTATATTATATGAAAAAACAAAAGATTTGTCAATAACGTAACTATCCTAGACATATTGGCCATACATACTACAGAACCAAAGCAAATTTCACATTATCCTATTAGCCGTTTTCTAAAGTAGTTCAAGCGATACATTTGCCTCATATTGTATTAAACGTAGATTTTATTTTGACGTATCTTACTTTGGGGTATGAAAATCCTCTACAAGTAAAGATGATTTAGGTCCTCCATTAAATGGCCTCTCAGTGAACCGGAATCAATCTCGGGTCTCTTGTAGGTTCATTATCAAAGGAAGACCCGCTGGTGGAGCATAGCAAACTTTTTTTGGGCGTAGGGGGTGACAATTTTAAAATTTCCTGTGAACATAGAAAATTTTTTTAACTGATGCACTGGAAAAATATTATTTTTAATAGCATCTGTAAACGGTTTTCATTACTTTAAACAAAATTAACTATTAGAAAACTAGATACAAATTTAATGTAATTTGTTATAGCTTACAGTATCATTAAAAGAGTGTTTGTTTATTTGATTTTAGTTATAGTTAGCCAGCCATACAATTTATATATATATATATATATATATATATATATATATATATATATATATATATATGATATATTACAGTTGCCGTATTTAACATTAATCTATTGCTCTTTTTCAAAGTGGTTAGAATTTATATCCAGGAATACACAAACTTCGAAAATTAAATTTATTTTTTTTTTAGTTTACAAGGAGCCGCAAAAAACTATTACATATTTATTTAGTTTTTTAATATAATTACAATCTAAAAAAATATCAAATAAATAAATTTTTTGGTTATTAATCATGAAATTCATGCCATGATTTATAAAAAAAAGTAAACCCATCATACCTAAATTACTTCGGCCATGTGGCCAGAAGAATGGGTCTAAGGAACTATTGTTAGTAGAAAGAAAATGTAGAAAGCCTAAGACCGAGAGAAAGATCTCCAACACACTGATCTGTAATAAAATAATTTGGAGACAATTTTATTCAGAAATTAATGTAAAATACCCAAAAAGGAAGGGTCCGGAATGTACCCATGACCGTTCGGAAAAGTTGTTGAATATTGAGGAGCTTTGAAACGAAGGCAGTTTGTTAGAAACTGTGATTATAATAGATCGTGAAATATATTAACTCTATTACATTCTGAATTGAACGATGGATTTTATATTTTTTAAAGAAGTTAAATTTAAACAAATGCGAAATTTTGCTGACAAAGTTGTATTATTTTGGAGCGAAATTCTGGCAGAAGAATTTCAGCATCTTGTGTTGACCAAATTTGGGAAGAAACTCTATTACTTTTTAACAAATTTTATTACTAATTATAATCAAGACCAATAAATAATATTTTAGTATTATTTTGGTTCGTGATATTATGACAGGAGGATTCGGTAATGATCGTATCAGAATAACATCAATTTTATATTAAGAGAAGATAACCGTTAAATCTCACTTAGTTTTTGTCCATAAAAAAATTGGTTGATATTAATTATGTCGACAGGTTTATTAAAATGGTTAGGAAGCCCAAAATGAAAATGTATGAAATGGTTCATTATACATAACCATTAAAATAACTTACTTCTTTAGCCTACTTTACCTATTCGATATTTTTCTAAAATTACGTATGTACTGTCAATAAGATGCTGTGTGTATAATTTCCCAATAGGGATCCAATGGTCCACCAGCAGCCATCATGAGTATATCTGCACCACCAGGATGAACATTAAGATAATCAGTGATATCGTACACCACCTTTATGAAATTGTTACCCATACTCGTGTATCTCTATAACAATAAAAAGATAAACAGTCTTAAATTATAAAAAAGGAAAAACAACTTAGAATTTCATTCTAAACAAAACGTACAGAGAACGTTAATGCAGGGCATTTAAAACTTTGGTCTGTAAGTTATACGGTTGTGGCGTACAACACTTTCACGACAATTCAGGATCTGACAATTGAATCGAAACGAAATGTCAGTAAAACTCAAATTCAAAATTTTGGATTTACCAACAACACAGCAGAGTAAAAAAACTGGATTTTTATCAAGAAACTTTATTATTTCCAGTATGTTTTAAATTTATAACATATCAGCACTGATTTAAATGAAATCGTAGGCTTTCCACGGCCAGAGTCAGAATTATAGTTTTATTCGTCTTCCGGTTTGGACCGTGTCATTTGTGAGTGACCCAAAAGTGGGTTCATCTCGACGTTTCGCTACAATTATATGTAGCTTCTTCAGGAGAACAAAGAAAGAAAAAAGAAACAAAAGAACAGGAAGATGGGTAGTTAGCAACGGTAACTCAGTTACTCAACGCAACCAGAGGCGAATACTAACTACCAAGATGGGCATTTGGTCACAGTAACTCAACTACTCAACGCAGCCAGAGGTGAAAACCAAATGCCAGGACAGGGATTCACGTCCAACAGCTCAGAACACTAACGCGTCGAGAGGCGGGGAGTGAATCCGACGATTACTCCGCTACCGCTCTATTTATAGTCGCGGTGCCTGTCGTGTCGGGACGTATCGGCACACTTCGTGGCGCGAACGTCAAGAAGCGCGCGCTGGCCAATCATGTGGCTGCATAGTGGTGGCGGGACCGGACGGTGGCTCTAGACTGAGATTCCAGATGGGAGACAAGTAGTATCCTTCCTCTCGATTGATATTATGGGGATTTTTTCGGATCTCTAGAGATTCGCGGATTTTCCTGGAATAAAAGAAGGGGCTCTTAGAAATAATATGGGTTTTTTTCGAACAATATGGAATGACCGGTTTCTTGGCAGTGTTCGGCAACTGCAGAATGGGAGAAAAGACCTGATCGAATGCATCTTTGATGCTCTTGAATCCGAGTTTTGACGGAACGACCAGTTTCGCCAATATACACATGTCCACATGAACAAGGAATAGAATAGACACCACAGGAAGATAGGGGCGGTAATGAGTCCTTAGGAGAGGGTAGATATTGTGAGATTTTCTTGGGTGGTCGAAAAGTAGTCCTGATACCTTCTTTGCGAAGAATTTTGCCAATCCTATCAGTGACATTTCGAATATACGGAAGAAAAGCCACAGGAGTATTACCCGAAGATTCTGAATTTGTTGTCCTAGGGTGTAAAGGGGGATTTAGATGTCGGTGTGTAATATTTTGAATTGTGGACTTGGAGTAACCATTGGCGACAAGGGTTTTTTGCAGATGGCCAAGTTCTTCTCTAAGGTTGTCGGGTTCAGAAATCGAAATGGCCCGATGGATGAGAGAGTTGATCACAGAATTCTTTTGGGCAGGATGGTGGTGTGATGAAGCATGTAGGTAACGATTCGTGTGAGTCTTTTTTCTATAAACAGAGTGACCCAATCGGCCATTGGGCTTGGAGGTGACTAACACATCGAGAAAGGGAAGGGACCGATTATTTTCTACTTCCATTGTGAATTTTATACTCGGATGTTGTGAGTTAAGATGAACTAGGAAGGAAGAAAGGGTATGTTGACCATGGGGCCAGATGATAAATGTATCATCAACGTAGCGGAACCAGACTTTTTGGTTTTAAGGGGTAAGATTCTAGGGCTAAAGACTCAAAGGCTTCCATGAAAATGTCAGCAATGACAGGGAAAAGGGGAGAACCCATTGGTGTTCCAGATATTTGTTTGTAGAAATTGCCTCTAAAAGAAAAATATGTTGAAAGCAGGCATTTTTCGGCAAGATCTGCCAAAACCAAAGACTTGTTATCATTGGTCAAGTGATCTCGCAGAACAACTAGAGAGTCATGTATGGGGATATTGGTAAATAGGGATGATACATCGAAACTGACGAGAATAATCTTGGGGATCGACTGTGAGAGAGGAGATTAAGGTGATGAAAATGTGTGGAATTTCGGACATAAGAAGAGGTACGACCAGTATAGGTCTTAAACTGATTGGACAAGTACTTAGCGAGTTTGTAGGTAGGAGAGTTAATCGTAGTCACAATGGGACGAAGAGGTACGTTATCTTTATGGATTTTCGGAAGACCATAAATTTCTGGGGCAGATGGAGTTTTTTGGAACTATGGACTTCTTAACATCATCGGAAAGATCGGATTGTTTGATGGCATGGGAAATTTTCGCGTTCGACTCTAGGAGTGGGGTCTCGAGAAATTGTATTATAACAAGGATGTATCCCTAAGTTAAGTCGTTTACTTTCTCTATGTAGGAAGGAGTATCCAGGATGACTGTGGCAATTACCTTTGTCTGCAGGAAGGAATTATTATCTCAGAAAGAGAACGGAGATTTTTGAGAGCTATAAATTCCTCACGAGAATAATATTGGAAGTAGGGATTTTGGCTGTATCAAGACATTTAGCGACGTCAAAGCGGATACGGTCGGCTGGAATTTTGGGAATTGTGCGGAGTGCCGCTTCCACATTTGAAACTATTTCTTCGTAGGAATTCTGGAAGGAGTGATAGCAAAATTAAAGACCTTTAGATAGAAGACTGCTTTCTGCACTTGTTAATTGGTGTGAAGAAAGATTAACACGGTGTTAATGAAGGTGAATGAGAAGTAGAAGTGGTGGAATGTGATTTTTTCTTAGATACAAGGGATTGGAATTTCTTTTTGTGAGTTTCGTTGCTTAGAAGAAGGATTTTATCGGCTTGATGATAGGAAATGCGGTCTAAAAGTGACCAATCCATCGACACTCAAGAATACTGGAGAGTTCAAGATGCAGCTTAAAAAGTTTTTGGGATTGAAAATTAAGGGTTTTTCGGTATATGTTGGATCCGTTCACGAAGTAGAGATAGGCTGGCTCGATGTAGAATTCGGGAAGAAGATGAAGAGGAAATGTGATGTTTTAGAACAAGAAAATTGGGAACCAAGTTATTATTCACGACATCTAGAGAGGAAGGTAAGCGAAGAAAGTAAGAGATGAAACTTTAGAGCGAAGATTGGAGAACTCTGAGGTTTTGCGGAATATAACCTCCCCGTAGAGGTTGGTCAAATGAAATCGTAGGCTTCCACGGCCAGAGTCAGAATTATAGTTTATTCGTCTTCCGGGTTTGGACCGTGTCATTTGTGAGTGACCCAAAAGTGGGTTCATCTCGACGTTTCGCTACAATTATATGTAGCATTCTTCAGGAGAACAAAGAAAAGGAAAAAGAAAACAGAAAGAACAGGAAGATGGGTAGTTAGCAACGGGTAACTCAGTTACTCAACGCAACCAGAGGCGAATACTAACTACCAGATGGGCATTTGGTCACAGTAACTCAACTACTCAACGCAGCCAGAGGTGAAAACCAAATGCCAGGACAGGGATTCACGTCCAACAGCTCAGAACACTAACGCGTCGAGAGACGGGGAGTGAATCCGACGATTACTCCGCTACCGCTCTATTTATTAGTCGCGGTGCCTGTCGTGTCGGGACGTATCGGCACACTTCGTGGCGCGAACGTCAAGAAGCGCGCGCTGGCCAATCATGTGGCTGCATAGTTGGTGGCGGGACCGGACGGTGACTCTAGACTGAGATTTGTGAGTGACCCACTTTTGGGTCACTCTACAAATGACACGGTCCAAACCCGGAAGATCGAATAAACTATAATTCTGACTCCTGGCCGTGGAAGCCTACGATTTCATTTGACCAACCTCTACGGGGAGGTTTATATTCCGCAAAACCTCAGAGTTCTCCAATCTTCGCTCTAAAGTTTCATCTCTACTTTCTTCGCTTACCTTCCTCTCTAGATGTCGTGGATAATAACTTGGTTCCCAATTTTCTTGTTCTAAAACATCACATTTTCCTCTTCATCTTCTTCCCGAATTCTACATCGAGCCAGCCTATCTCTACTTCGTGAACGGATCCAACATATCCGAAAAACCCTTAATTTTCAATCCCAAAAACTTTTTAAGCTGCATCTTGAACTCTCCAGTATTCTTAGTGTCGATGATTGGTCACTTTTAGACCGCATTTCCTATCATCAAGCCGATAAAATCCTTCTTCTAAGCAACGAAACTCACAAAAAAAATTCCAATCCCTTGTATCTAAGAAAAAATCACATTCCACCACTTCTACTTCTCATTCACCTCTCATTAACACCGTCGTTAATACTTTCTTCTCACCAATTAACAAGTGCAGAAAGCAGTCTTCTATCTAAAGGTCTTAATTTTGCTATCACTCCTTCCAGAATTCCTACCGAAGAAATAGTTTCAAATGTGGAAGCGGCACTCCGCACAATTCCCAAAATTCCAGCCGACCGTATCCGCTTTGACGTCGCTAAATGTCTTGATACAGCCAAAATCCCTACTTCCAAATATATCTCGTGAGGAATTTATAGCTCTCAAAAATCTCCGTTCTCTTTCTGAGATAATAATCTCTTCCTGCAGACAAAGGTAATGCCACAGTCATCCTGGATACTCCTTCCTACATAGAGAAAGTAAACGACTTACTTAGGGATACATCCTGTTATAATACAATTTCTCGAGACCCCACTCCTAGAGGTCGAACGCGAAATTTCCCATGCCATCAAACAATCCGATCTTTCCGATGATGTTAAGAAGTCCATAGTTCCAAAAAACTCCATCTGCCCAGTAATTTATGGTCTTCCGAAAATCCATAAAGATAACGTACCTCTTCGTCCATTGTGACTACGATTAACTCTCCTACCTACAAACTCGCTAAGTACTTGTCCAATCAGTTTTAAAGACCTATACTGGTCGTACCTCTTCTTATGTCCGAAATTCCACACATTTCATCACCTTAATCTCCTCTCTCACAGTCGATCCCCAAGATATTCTCGTCAGTTTCGATGTATCATCCCTATTTACCAA